AATAATAGAGGTGGGAGAGGATTCCCAGCCGATTGCTCTTTCATTTGGACTGTGGCCTATAGATGTGGCTTTGGCACTTGCCTTGGTGGTGTTACTCCTCTGGCTGTGGCCGCTAACACTATGCAGGGGCTGACTGATGACGGGAATGAGCGGGGCAGACTGGGTATCATACATTGGGAAGTGGTGATGAAATGTGGCACTCAAAGTGAAGCCTATCTACCTTCTGTGAAGGCATCTAAGCTAAAAAAATTTTTTTAAAAAAGTAAAGGACAAACAAAACATGTCTGAGGGCCAGTTGGAGTACCTTGCTTTCAGTTTCAGTTTCAGTACCTTGTACCAACTATATCCACAGGCCTTATTCAAAAAGGAGATCATCTGAATTATGGACCTGAGGCATGTTGCCAAAGAAAGTTTCACTTCTATTCATTGATTTATATGAGCTAAAGCAGAAAATTGAAGAAGTGCATTTTAGAAACCTAATCACAATACATTTTGCAGCAGAGAGAACACAGTAGAAGCTCTGCCCTCATTTATTATCTGGTTAACTAGAATTCTCTGTTGTCCAATTATCCAAGTGAATTCAGATGTCACAGTGTATAGGTCATTAAAAACTGCGAAAACTAGTCCTGCCTGGGTGGCTTAGTTGTTTGGAGCATCATCCTATACACCAAAAGGTTGTGGGTTCTATTCCTTCTCAGGGCACATACCTAGGTTGTAGGTTTGATTCCCCATTGGACACATACAGGAGGCAACTGATCAATGTTTCTGTCTCTCTCTCCCCCTCCTCTCTCTCTAAAATCAATAAAAACATATCCTTGGGTGAGGATTAAAAAATTTGAGAAAACTAGGACCTCTCAGTACTGGAGGTGCTGTCATATATAGACATTCAAACATTTAATACTGGGACCCATGGTGAGAAATACCTTTATGTCATTTTCGAGCAGAATCTCACACACACACACACACACACACACACACACACACACACACACACCAGAAACCCAAAATAGTATTTGAAGAAACAGTATCTTACCATATGCCCAAACTGATGTTTTCCAACTTGTTCCATTTTTATTAAAATAATGATCATGAATTGCCAAGTTTATTTTATAATCCACTAGTAGACCACAACATTTAGTTTAAAATAATCATGAGACAAGGTGATTGATGCTAACACACTTTTATTTATTCATTAAATTTATTAATTAAATAGATATTTACTCAGTTTCTAATGAGTGCGAGGTGGACATGGACAAAACATGGATTCTTGTCACCAAAATCTAATGGGAAAGACATGCATGAAAATGCCTAAAAACTCAAGGCAGAACAGTCACTTCACATTTTACATGACACTTTTTTATTATTATACATCATAATGATAATCTTTTAAGTAGGCAGGACAGAATTTAGCCTAATTTTACAGATAGGAAAGTGTGTTTTTGAAAAAGTGACTTACCCATACAAAAATAATAGAACAACAGTGACAATAGCATTTGTTAAGCATTTACTATATTTAATTTTCACTACAACCTTACTTGTATGGTGCTATTATTACACGCATTTTACAGAGGAGGAAAGTGAGACAGAGAGGTCAAGTATCGTGCCCAAGGTCATAGAGAGTTAAGATTCTGAGGAACCAGGATTCAATCCTAGGAAATATGGTTCCAGAACCTCAATGGTAAGCAATGTATTATAGTTCTTGGAAATCAGAAAGATTTGTGTCATCTATTTGTCTTCTCCTACCCCCACCATAAAAGTAGTGTGACATCTGCTGAGATGAGAGCATTTGGGGGTGGAGGAGATGGGGAGAAACCGAGCCCTGCCTCCTGAATAGTCCTCAGTGTGGAAAATCTTCACCAAGTTAATGAAAGTGACTGAAGTCAGCAATAAAAAGGCGAAGGGAAAGAATGCTCTCCCCCGAAGAGGGTGTCTAATCCTTTGACTCTGCCCCATGCATCATGTGGTATTCTTGAGATAAGGTGATTATGAAGCAATCTCGATCTGGGAAAAACAGGAGAGTTTAGCTCTAAATGTTCACCTTGGGTTTTACCAGTGCCATCGCCCTTCCTTAAATGCAAGTTCTCATTCAGAATCACACAGACAAGTTTCCATTAGTATCATCCTGGAAACAGTAATATGTAGCCTTTGTTGAGCTCCTCCCATTGGAGAAACTAGGACTGTCAAACACTGAGGGTAGAGCTGTGTCCAAGCCATATCAATAATACTAATAATGGAGGATATTAATTACTTTATATGTATTATGTACTTTTATTACGCTCTGTTTTATAGAGTAGTGTTGAGATTGGTATATATTCCAGTGTCAACTAGTATACCCATACTGGTTTTTAGAATGTTGTAAATGAATCCAACTATTGTTTTTCCTGCCCCAATATGTTCTTTTAAAAGATTATCTATATTTTTAAAAATATGTGTTTTTTATTGATTTTAGAGAGAGAGGAAGGGAGCGGGAAAGAGAGATACCCCACCGATGAGAGAGAAACATCCGTCTGCCTCCTGCATGCCCCGTACTGGGGATTGAGCCAGAAACTCGGGCATGTGCCCTGACCTGAGCAGGTGACTATGCTCAACCAACGAGCCACACCAGCTGGCATGATATGCTCATTATATCTCTAATTTTGTAGGGTTATTAAGAGTTATTATAATTGACTTTGTTAATACTAAATTAAGAGTAAAGTTAAAAAATAAAGTGATCCCTGTAGCCATTCATGTTTTTTCCTTAAATTTGCAAACTGGGGAGATAGTTATTCAAAAATATGTTTCACCTAAATATATTCCAGCAATATGTCTGCAACTCTGAAAACAGTTCAGCAAAAATAACTGAGAATGCTCTTTTTGAAAATAATAATTTTCACTTTTCAAAAATGATCTTCTCTAAATTCTCTTCATCCAGTGATTATAAATCCAGAATTTGTCAGGGCACATGATGAACTCTGGGTATTTATTCTCCCTGCAGATCAGTAATGAATTAAATGAGAAGGAAATGTGTAGAAAAAGATTATTTAATATATAATTGGAAAAGATTTATTTACTAGGCTTTACAGAGTATTCTGTCAAATAACTAAAATAGCTTAATCTGACAGATTTGAAAAATTGGAAGTATAAAATTTGTGTTTAAAATTTTATTACAGTTTTAACTGTCACCACTCAAGTTGTTTGATGTTGTAAATGAGCATTAACTTACGTGGGATTCAGGTCAGATCATACCTTCACCAGGTAATGCAGTTAGGAAAGCAGCTGTCCAGGGGCTAGAGGATCCATAAGACAGCATTTTAGAAAACTGAACTTATTTGGGCGACACTGATGAACAAAATCATACGGATTCCAGGTGCACAATTCTACTACACAATCTAGGCCTCTCTACTGACTCACTCTCTTCCCACAAGGATTTGCATTTGCATGATCCTTGAACAGAAAACGTCTCCCAACCCGATTAATTTATTTGATGTAGACCTATGTAGAGCTCGAGCTTCCAAGATACTCTTTGGATCCCAAATGATTTGGACTGAAGCCTCTTGGAATGTAGAGTTTGATTTTGTGTCCTTAGGAGACCAAAATCATAATAGCCAGAGAAAGCCAGGAAAGGAGAGAAGGCAAAACTAGCTTTGTGTGTAGATCTAAGAAAATTTTACACACATGTACCTGTTTCGTGTTGTTTTGGTGATGAAACTCTGTCAGATGACTTTGGAAAAGCTTTTCATTTAGTCATTCCAAACCCTAATAGGGAAAAGGTTCCTTTTTAATCAAGATTTTCACCTGGTTTTATCCTGAAATGATGAGAATGATGGTACTTCTGCAGTCTTATTAATTCAGGTGAAAAATGAACGTTTGGTAATTACATTTTGAGAATTACAGCTATATCCAAGTTTTATAAGGCTTGAAACTTACACAATGTTGGGGTCCACTTGAAGAATAAAAATATGAAATCACAAATGATAGGTTAGGTACACGGTCTTGTAAGGGGCTTTGGCAAAAAAGGGGCCTTGACCCTTAAGCTTCGTTACCTTCATGATAAATTCTCCTCGAATAATGACTGACTGCTTGTTTTGCCCAAAATTATGAAAGAAAAAAAGGGGGAGGGGCTAGAAAATGGAAAGAAAATCCTTGTTTAGCTGGCTTCCCAACTATCCCCTCAAGCCAGCCGAGTGGTTTGGTCCTTTCTCCCGGTCCCAAGGTAAATGATGTCAGATCTGAAATTGCACCGGATTCAACCGTGCCCCCCCCTTTCTTCTTCCCCAATTTATTGCTTCAACAAATAGTTATTAAACAGTCACATACATTCACTAGGTGGAATAGACCCCAATTGCCTCCTAGCGTTAGCGTTAGAATGGCTAGCTCTTCCATCTCTCCCTTAGGGATCATTCCCATTATGTGAAATGTGCAAAAATACGGCTGTTTCTTTCTATCCTAGCAGACAAATAGCCACTTCATTTGAGTTACAAGTCAGTCCTCCAGGACGGTAACCGTCGGGGTGGCTTTGACTTGCCGAATCTTCCAGCATATATAGGTTAAGTTATACGAAATGGGCGTGCCTGGATCTTACCAAGAAACCCCCTCATCCCCAAAGCTTACCAGTCAGAGGCACCCAGCCCCTTTCTTTACCCAACACCCACTCCTCCCCCTCCCATCCCGCCTCGTTTTCCGCCTGCAGCCCACCTCCCCGAAACACTCCCCTCCCTCACTCCCTCTCTGGTCCTCCTTCCCGTGGGCCAGCCGCGCTTGGAGCTGCCCTGCTGCGCGGGGGACACGGCGACACCTCTAGGGTTGCTTCCGGGCACTCTCCAGCCAGAGGGTGGCTGGCCTGGAGCCTGGAGCTCGGCGGAATGGATATAGAAAAGTTTGGGGGAATTAAAGCTATTAAACCTTTTACTGATTTATTGTAACGATTCCTCCAAACCACGATTCCAAACTTCAAATATGTTTTCATTTCTAAGTCTTAAGTTCTCACTTTCATGCTTTTCTGCTACAGAATTCCCTCCTCTTTGCGTCATGTCGGGCAGTTGATAATTTTCCTTTCTTTCTTCCTTAAAAAAATCTCCCCTTTAGTCCTTCCCACCTTCCACCTCTCCATCCGTCTCCCAGGTTGATTTCTTTCCTTGTCTCTGGGCTTGCCCATGAGTCTCCTCGGGAACTACCGGAAAAAGACCAGCAACGATGGTTATGAATCCTTGCAGCTGGTGGACAGTAACGGGGACTTAAGTGCCGGGAGCGGCGCGGGTGGCGCCAAGCAGAGAGTGAATGTCGGGGCAGCGGCGTGGAGTCCCGCCCGGCAGCCTCCGGACCGCGCCAGCACCATGGACAGCTCAGGTAGCGCCGCCGGCGGGAGCGCGGGGCTGAACTGCGCGGGCCCTCCAGACGCGGCCCAGTCCACTGGCCGGAGGCCCCCACCCCAGCCCTGGCCTGGGAGAGGCCCGGTAGAGGCCAAGGCATCGAACACCACCAGGGTGTCGCGTCTCTAATTTCTCTAATCCAGGGAGAGCTAGGAAATGTTAGATTGGTCTGGAGGCCCGGTGACCCTAGTGAGCGCCTCTTAATCTCGCTAGGCTGCTGAATTCACCTGCTGGGAGCGGGGGAGAGGAGGGGTGAGTAGGGGAGGGGCAGGGATGGCGCGAGGAGCGGCTGGGAAGGAGGGCGGGGAGAGGCAGCTGCTTTCACTATGCTGCTAGGGGAGCCGGAGAGAGGAAGGAGCTAGAACTTTGATTGTTTTTGCAGCCTGGGGACGGAATTTATTCCAGTTGTTTTGGTAATGCTGATGTTATTTGCAATTGTGTAAAGCTCTACCTCCTCTCGATTCTGCTCTCTGCTAGGGTTGATGCTGTTTCTTGAGTTTTTACCTGGGATCTAGAGCTCGTACACAGCTTTCATGATTTGCACAATGAAAGTTTGTGTGGTGGTGTTTTTTTCATGTTGTCTTTGAGCTTGTTTTTCTTTAGCCATTTGCATTGAGTGTATTAATATTTCATAAACCTTTACATGTAAGGCAAGTGGAAATGCTTCCAAATTTTGCATCCGGGCTTGCAACCATCTCCTATAAAGCAATTTAGCAAGTTGAATTTTGCTCTTGAAAATGCTCTTTTAGTGACTCCCACAGCAAAACAGTCATTTAATATATCCATGTTGGACCAGGAGTAGTGTTATAGTTGTTTCCTTACTTTTTCAAGGAACCAGGGTACAAGGCGTGTTCACATAGAGATAATTTACAACTGAAGTGTTCAGTGGTTTCTTCTACATTGATAACTGTAATTCTGGACAACTGAGGACTCCAGAGGAAAGATTCATGTTCGGTTGTTTGGGAAGTAATGAAACCAAGCCGAATTTAATTCCTCCACTTTGCAAACAAATGCTTACTTCTTTAATAGTGTACACTCGCTGGGCTATCATATTCTTTCTCATCCCATAAATGGGATGAAATATTGTTAACAAATGTTCAACTGCTCTGGCCTGAAAATGAATTTTACCCATGCAAACACTTACTGAAGTTAAATAAGGTATTGGTGGGATGTTCTCTCAGGATCATTTTAAATTGAAGCTAAGATGGGACTGATGGTTTCAAGAGCTTTGGTATTGATGTTGTTTGTACATGGTTATTTGATTTATGATTTTTCCAAATCTGTGATATATCAAAATCCAAACCATCTTTAGACTAGATATTGTCTCCTTTAAATCTTAAATAAAGATTCATGTACTCATAATGATGCCACTGTAATCCTTTCTGGAACATAGTGGACATGTAAACAAATAACTGAAATGAAAATGAACAGGATCCAAATGAGTATGGAGGAGCCCCACTTCGGGGAAATGAAAGAATTATGAAATTTTTTGTATTAAACTTTTATAAGGATTTTTACTTTTGGAATTAGAATTTTTTTTTTAAGTATGTTACATTCTAGAATAAATTCAACACGTATTTCCTGAGCTTGTTATTTGCCAGGTACTGTGCTAAGCACTGTGGGGAATTAGAGAGACACTTTTGGCCTCTAGGGGACAGTAACTCAAACACACAGCCCCCTATGGTAAGTCCTGTTTCTTTGAAGATTATCTTTTTTCAATAAATCAGAGTTTTTCAATAAGTTGAAAGAAAAATGAATTGCCTTGATAAACTATTATAATGGGAAAGCATTTTATGAATAACTAGGGGCCTGGTGCATGAAATTTGTGCATGTGGGGGGTGTCCCTTAGCCCAGCCTGCCCCCTCTCACATACTAGGAGCCCTTAGGGGATGTCCTACTGATGGCTTAGGCCCGCTCCCTGCTCCACTTGGGGAGTGGGCCTAAGCCACAGTCTAGCCTCCCTCTGCAGGAGGTGACCGGGCTCATCAGAGAAAGGCACCAGCCCCATCACCCCTCTGCTGCAGCTATTGCCAGCCACTGCAACCACCAAGGTGTTTTCATCAACATGGACTCCAGTCCCTTAACCATGAAAACCTGACAACTTTCTTTAGGCATTTTCAAGATGTGTCTTTCATAGGATACAACATTTCTTTCTTTTTTCTATCCTCACCTGAAGATATGTTTCCATTGATTTTTAGAGAATGTGGAAGAGAGAGGGAGAGACAGAGAGAAACATCAATGTGAGAGGGACACAGGGAGCTTAGCCAGTGTGCGGTCAGAAAAGGTGTTTAAGCTCAAACTGGTTTGGCTCAGTGGATAGAGCGTCTGCCTGCGGACTGAAGGGTCCCAGGTTTGATTCCTGTTAAGGGCATGTACCTTGGTTGGGGGCACATCCCCAGTGGGGAGTGTGCAGGAGGCAGCTGATCAATATTTCTTCTCATCAATGTTTCTCACAGTCTATCCCTCTCCCCTCGTCTTTGTAAAAAATCAATAAAATATGTTTAAAAAGAAAAGAAAAGAAAAGGTGTTTCCTCTGCAGCCCATGCGCAGAGGATCCCCTGCATTGTGTCCACCGAGCTAGGGGTGTGTCCAGCCGGGGGCATGCCTCCAAGCCCAGTGGCCCCACATTTGCTGTGTCCACTGGGCTGGGGGACATGGACCTGGGCTGGTTGGCATGGCTGCTTGCGCTTGGCACCCCGGCTGCTTGTCCTGGGACCCAGCCCGCTTGGTATCTCAGGACCCGGGCTGCTTGGTGTGGCCCCTGGCCGCTTGTCCTGGGACCCAGCCCACTTGGCGCCCCTGGCTTCTTGTCCCGGACCCAGCCTGCTTGGTGTCCTGGGACCTGGGCCGGTTGGCGCAGGCGCACGCTCAAGAAGCCGTGGGGTAGAAACTTGTGGTGGAAGTTCCCGCCCCATGGCAGTTTGTGCTTGGCACCCCTGGCCGCTTGTCCCAGGACCCGGGTTGCTTGGTGCCGGCGCCTGTAGGCCACTCCTGGCTGGGGTGTTCTGGGACCCTGGCCACTCAGGGTCTACGCGCAGGCCTACAGGCTTGGAGCAGCCTGGGTCCCGAGGATGTTCCCAGGACCCAGGCCATTTGGCACCTACACATGCAAATTAACCTGCCATCTTTGTCAGGTTAATTTGCATACCCACTCCTGATTGGCTGGTGGGCATTGTGGAGGGACAGTCAATTTGCATCTTTCTCTTTTATTATATAGGATATTATCATCTCTGAAATGCTATTATTAGGAGTTGATTCTTCAGCTTAATCAATCTAGCACTATGTGAAGAAGTTGCAGGAATTCATTCATCTCCCCACCACCTCCACCTCCCCCACTTCCTAATTAGGGGAATGCTATGGCTTTGTTGTGGCACTACTCTGTATTTTATGACTATTTTGGTGTATATGTGCAGTTGAGAATGCAATTTAGGCGGATGCTGTTTGGTTTGGATGAGGGATTGGGCCCAGAAAATGGGGTTTCTCTCAGTGGGTAGCAAGTTTTATTTACTAGTGCAACTATATCTGTCTTGTCTAATGATAGTTCTTTCTTCTAAGATCCTCACTGAGTGGCCTTGTGCAGTGTAAATTATCCATTTGTTTAAGATATTTAATTAAACTCATAGATCATTTCTAAAGTAGCAGTACTCTGCCCATTCATTCAACTGATTGTGCTGTGACATGCTGCATGAGATAGGTGGTTCATGGGGCTTTTGCTTTAACAGAAATATTTATGAATGGAGAAAATGTGTCAAGGTCCCTCTAGAGAATTTAAAGCTTAGTCTTAACAATACCTTATACGTGTATAGCTATTTGTAATAGATCGAACACTTGGACAGTAATCTCATTTCATTTACCCAGAATTCTAATAGGTAAACTAAGCAGCATATGAATGTGCCTAGGGATTTGGGATCGAACCTCTTCACTATTGTTACTAGCTATAGAATCTAGACAATATTTAAGCCTGTTCCCCATTATAAAAGAACATTAATAGAGCTTTACTTTGAAGCTTACAACAACATGATAATATATTTGCAATTTTTCTTCCCATTGCTGTCTGTGCCCTTCCAATCAGATGAGGAAACATATTCTTAGAGATGACAGGAGACTTGTTCAAGGTAAAATAGCTACTTAGTGATAGCTAGATTGTTGAAAAAGAATCAATATTATCTACTTCGACTTTCCCATCTGTCTTTTTTTTACGTGAAAGAGTGACAGATGTTCAGAGAAGTGTAATGACTTCCTAAGTCAACAGATTCTCAAGTGGCAGATTCCAGTGCGCCCGCCTAGCCATATGTAACTTGTGGAGCTCTCTACCTGCCCTGGCTCTCTTTATCTTCATTGGAATTATTCACTAGAAAAGATTGTCGTTCAAAGGTAATCCTCTGATATCCCAATGGCACTTCAACGATCCCGGTTCATTAGCCCAGAAACCCCATATTTCTCTTGTGTGTCTTTCACCTTCTATGGAAAGTAGAATCCGGAAAAGCAGAACTCCCAATCTTAAGTCACTAAAGTGTTCCAACATTAGGCTTTACTTATCAAATTCATAATGACAAGCTATGGAGCAGTAGTTCAATTAAAAGTATCAGGATAATGGTCCTGGCCGGGTGGCTCGGTTGGTTGGAGCACCATCCCATACAGCAAAAGGGTGAGGGTTCAATTCCCAGTCAGGACACATACCTAGGTTGCAGGTTCGATCTCCAGTCAGACAGCGTACGGGAGGCAACCCGATGTTTCTCTCTCTCTAAAGTCGATAAAAACCCATCTTTGGGTGAGGTTTGATTTTTTAAAAAGTTTAAGAAATGAAGAATGTTGAGCTACTTTCCTGGTTAGTATGGATCTGATTGGAAACAAAAGTTATTTTTAACAAATACAGGTGGGGCAAAGGAGATTTACAGTTATCTGTGTGGAAAAATAATACAATAATTAATAAATAATAATACAAGACCAAAATCTGTGTTTTGAGTTCTCACAAAT